AAAACTCAAAAAAAAAAAAAAGAAATAAGCACACTCTATTTGATATAGAACTTTTACTTCCAGAGCATTTCAGATCTCCTTTCTTAAGACCTGTCCAGGTACCCTGTGATGTTGGGAGGGCTAGTGTTATTGCTGTTTATCAGATTTGTTAAAAACTGGGGCAACCTCCTCGGGTCCCTTCCCACTGTGGGAGCTTTTCTGTCCTCTCAATAAATCCTGCTTTCTAAAAATAAATAAATAGGCTGGGTTCGGTTGCTCAGCCTGTAATCCCATGCTTTGGGAGGCCAAGGTGAATGTAGTGAATTGCCTGAGCCCGCGGGTTCGAGACCCGCCTGGGCAGCGAGACCTCATCTCTACAATAAATCAAAAATTAGCTGGGTGTGGTAGCGCATGCCTGTAATTCCAGCTACTCAGAAGGCTGAGGCAGAAGGATCGCTGGAGCCCAGCAGGTCAAGGCTGCGGTGCCTGGGAGCGGCCACTGTACTCCAGTCTGGGTGACAGAGTGAGACTCCAACTCAAAAAACTAAAATAATAAAATAATAAATAAATAAATAAATAAAACTGCCCATAGAAACTTGCTAAGGTAGGCTGGGCTCAGTGGCTCAGCCTGCAATCCCAGCACTTTGAGAGGCCAAGGCTAGTGGATTGCCTGAGCCCACGGGTTCAAGACCAGCCCAGGCAACTTGGCAAGACCTTGTCTCTACAATACACCAAAAATTAGTTGGGCATGGTAGTGCACGCCTGTAGTTCCAGCTACTTGGAAGGCTGAGGCAGAAGATCGCCTGAACCCAACAGGTCAACTCTGGGGTGGCCATGAGCATGTGTGCCGCTGCGTTCCAGCCTGGGCAACAGAGTAAAACTCCAACTCAAAAATAAATAAATAAATAAACTTACTAAGGCGCTTACCTGCTTCATGGGGTAGTGAAGGAGAAAACACTGTCTTTTCCCTTCAAGAATAATCAAGAATGGGTCAAGATGGTGGGCTGTACTTACATCCCTGTCTCAAATCCCATTTATTTTCCAAAAGGAAATACAAGAAGCACAATGACCAGCACCTTGAATTTCAGCCAAATGGACTGTGTGAATGGGTAATACCAGTATCAGGCACAGGATCTGCCAACGACAGGTGGGACCATGCCCATCTCTCATTCTCAGTGAGAGGACAAGTAATGTCAAAGCAGCAAGTCTTACTGTCACCACATATGTTTGATTTCTTGCCCTTAGTTATACAGAGAGATAGCCTCCCATTAGGACTGGCTTTACAACCCACCCAGAGTCCATAGAAGCTAAACATGGACACATTTAGTGAGCTGCTTCTCTCTGGCTCCTCCCTTCACAGGTGAGACCCGAAGTGTGTCGCTTCTCCATGACTCTCTTTGGAGCCTCCATCAAGTCTATAAAGTATCCGAATAAGAAGAGGGTAGAGAACCAAGTCTTAGACAGCTTGATCCCACTGCTTCTGTATTCTCAGGATGAAAATGATGCAGTAGCTGAGGTAACACCTATTACCAACTTCTTTCTGTCCTGCATAACCTCAAATTTGGAGCCAACTCTGCAAATAAGCATTCTTTTTTTTTTTTTAATTGGAGTCTTACTCTGTTGCCCAGGCTGAAGTGCAGTGGTATGCTCATGGCCACTGCAGCCTTGACCTGCCGGGCACAGGTCCCACAGATTCTAGGAGAAGGCTGGCATTGTCACCTCCCTGCTTTCCTGGACAGAGCTGAAAGCACAAGGCTTCCGATTTAGAAACAGGACTTAAGATGAAGCTGAACCCTGGTACCTCATTATGAGGAGAGTTTTGTGGCTCTAGAGCCATATATATGACATGTGTTAGGCCCCAATAAAGCATGGAGCCACTTTATTGGGGTCTAACACATGTCTCTTGGTCTGGGGCACCAAGACTTCCACATGTCTGTTATAGCTCCCCATCCCAACCAGGTGCTGGGGAACTATAACAGACATGTGGTCTAGTGCCCCAGTCCCGCTCTGCCAACTCTCTGCAATTAGGAAAGACCTAGAGCAGTCCAGGCCCTGAGCTTGTCAACTGTCCAGAGTTCATTTTAGTGCTATTTCCTTCTCTTTTAAATCTTGAACAACCTTCAGATTCCTTCAAGGCTCCTCAGAGAGAAGACTAAGCAGAGAGGAGGGGTCTAGCGTAAAACAGGTCAGGAACCACTGTCACAGTGAACATAATAAACACCCATATAGCCACCACCCACTTCAAGAAATAGAAATACATCATACACCTATCTCCAACTGAATTTCCCCCAAAACTATCATCCTGGCTTTTGTTGTATTATTTCTGTAAATTTTTTCATGTTTTAAAACTTTGTCTGTTGTATCATTCTACAAAATTTTCAGCAACTTTTTTGTTTAACTTTATAGGAGATATCTGTGTTGTTTAGCTCTAGTTCATTTATTTTCACTGCTATAGAGAGTGCTATCATATGCATAACCTATAACTTATCCCATTCTCCTGTTCCTGGGCATTTAGATAGTGTTCAGTTCTTCATGATTAAAATGCTGCAATGAGCATTCTTTGTTTTTCTTATGGATATGTATGAGAGTTTCTTGAGGGTGTAAACCCAGAAGTAGAATATCTAGGTATCTTTAACTTTACTAGATATTTACAAATTACTAAACAAAGTAGCCAAACACTAGTAGGTAAAAATCAGTATTTTCATCAGTCGCCAAAGGAAGTTTTATAGCTCCGATATCTAGTGAACCTGAAATGAAATACTGACTTGGAGAGTCATCCAAGTGTGCAAGGGTGGCATTCTGAGAGCAATGATAAGGAAGAGCCCCACTTGCCACGTTCTGCTCAAATATCTGGATCTGGAGGGGATCAGTACTCTAGAGTGTCTTCCAACCTGGGAATGCCACAAGAACAGGAAGAGTCAGGCACTTCACTTCCCTGTGTAGAGTGACAGAAAAATGACATGGGAGCAGCAAGTGGGCATGGGAGCCTTATCTCCAGAGCACAAGGTGGCAGAAATCCCTGCCTGAGCGTTTGGTCTAGACATTTTCTGGCACTATCACTTCTGGCCAAGGTCAATGGTTTCTTCATCCTCCCCAGAACCCTGTGGTTTTTATGGATCCCCTTTAGAGACTGTTCGGGGAAGTTGGAGGAGGGCAGGATTCTACTTCCTTCCCACCCCTCTGCTCACTTCAGGGTAATTCTGAGCTTATCAGTTTTTCACACTCGGTTTTAAAAATAAAATGTTAGAGCCGGTCTCAGTGGCTCAGCCTGTAATCCCGCGCCTTTGGGAGCCCGAGGTGAGTGAATTGCCTGAGCCCGCAGGTTCGAGACCCGCCTGGGCAACTTGGCGAGACCTCATCTCTACAATAAATAAAAAAATAGCCGGGCGTGGTAGTGCACACCTGTGGTTCCAGCTCCTTGGAAGGCTGAGGCGGAAGTATCGCCGGAGCCCAGCAGGTCGAGGCTGTGGTGGCCGGGAGCGGCCATTGCGCTCCAGTCTGGGCGACGGAGTGAGACTCCAACTCAAAAAAATAAAATAAAATAAAATAAAATGTTAGGCTGGGCTCAGTGGCTCAGCCTGTGATCCCAGCACGTTGGGAGACCGAGGCAAGTGGGTTGCCTGGGCCCACGGGTTCAAGACCAGCCCGGGCAACTTGGCGAGACCTTGTCTCTACAATAAATCAAAAATTAGCCGGATGTGGTAGTGTGTACCTGTAGTTTTGGCTACTTGGAAGGCTGAGACAGAAGGATCGCTGGAGCCCAGCAGGTTGATGCTGGGGTGGCTGTGAGTGTGCCTGTGAGTGGGGTGATGGAGTGAGACTCCAGCTCAAAAAACATAAAATAAAATAAAGTGTTGATCTATGATCATCTTTTTCACAGGAGAGCAGGCGAGTCCTAGCTATCTGTGCCCAGTTCCTGAACTGGAAGCTGCCCCAAGTCGTGTACTACAAAGATCCCTGGTATATCATACCTACTGAAGTTGAAGCAATCTGCGAATTCTTTGTATGTGAGCAATAATGACTTTGTTAACTCTTTAACATGCTGACACATTTGTTTTTTTCACACTTGTTTTTAATGAAGGAACATAGCATACAGGACACATTGCCCATCATTCTTCACATAGCAGTTGATGTCCATGAACTTTTTTTTTTGTTATGGATCTATTTGTCTATAGTTCCTTCCCAACTGAGTCACAAATGTACTCACAGAAAGACTGGTGAACTCCTGGGAACCCTACCAACCTGGCTCAGAAACTGCGAGTTCAGGCAGATACAGTATTCTTGGGAAATTACCTATGGGCTGAATTGAAATGGAATTATGCTGTTGCCTTTATAATTATCTCTAATCCTTTCCTTGAATAGAATGAGTTGTTTTACTTTCCGTCAGAGCATGTTCAGGGAATCCCAAGCAAGGGCTGCCATGTTGTGTGGCCATGCAGCATGATGACACATGCCACTGGCTCTACCAGGACCCAGATGGCATCCTTTTTCCTCAAAAACTTGACAAAGGTTCCTGCGGCTGGTCTTGAGGGAGGCTTGAGCCAGGGCAGCCTCAGGAAAGCCCATCCATGGTTGTCTAGAAGTTGACCCTAGAACAATCTGGATGAAGACCCTAGGAATGACTAATCCCAGGCATCTTCTGCATATAGGACGCAGAGTGGGTTCCTCTGATCAGCCTTGCAGTGCCTGGTGCCAGGCTATCCACTAAGGATTCTCTCTCTGACCAGCAGCCACACCCATAGCAGATGCACTGATGAAGGTAGTTACAACTGGAAAGTTGGTGCTGTCAGGGGATAAAGCTACAATTTGTTCATGTTAACTAAATTATAAGTTCTCTGAAAACAAGTTCCTGTTTCCTTCCCTCCTATCCCTGAAGCAACTGTCCCCATATGAGATCCACTGAGAGTTGCGTTCATTTGCCAAAAGGCATAACACATCCATTGTGTGCATCAGACCATGAAGAACCCAAGGATTAAAACTTCCTGAGTGGGACTTGAAAGCTAGTAAAGGAATGAAATCTCTGTAGAAAATTAAACAGAAACTCATGGCAAAAAACAATATGTGCCAAGAGAGGGTTACCTGAAGAATTGTCAGAGCAGGGTAGATCAGGCAGGCAAGAGGGAGGGTGGAGGCAACCTCACAGGGAGGGAGCCTGGAGAACAAAGACTTGGATACAGAGACAGCTAGAAAAGCACTGCAGGCACAATATGTGGCATGAGTGGGTGCAAGCAAGGGTTACTCAGAGGATGTCACTTGGTTTAGGGGCTTGTTGTGGCATAATGTTCATTCAGCAACTGTAGTTTTTTCAAGTACTTCTATACTCTATGTCTGACACAATCTCTGACCCTAGAAGCTGTAACGAGACTGATCAAAATAGTGTTGCAACTTCACTGCCTTGGACTCTTGCTTTTTTCTCCACTTAGGAAAAAAAATGCAAGGGGAAAATTAACATCCTAGCCCAAGCATTAATGTACTCCAAGAATGCAAAACTTCCCATCAGAAGATCAGCAGTCTTGTTTGCAGGTACAAAGAAAATGCTTTCATTTCTACAATCACTTTTGTCCTACACTTTCCCAAATTGTGTTGAGTATCCCCAGTCTATGAAGACGACCTTGAACATACTTGCAGGAGAGAGGGGCTGTGCTACCTAGGGTAACTACCACCAGGCACTTGGAAGTCTAGGTTTTGGAATCTGCCTGATTATCAAAAGGTCAATTCTTCCAGCTGCTTCAATTTTTCAGTGATAAAAACCCTGAGATATTAATTTCCAAGAGCAAATCCAGATCACGGCTCACTGTCTTTATCCTGCATTTAGGGCTCTTATCAAAGTACATGGATCACAATGAGCTCAAGACAAAGGACACCGACTGGATAGAGGATGGTAAGTGATAACAGGCCTTGAATTGGGGGTGCACCCATATTTTAGAGAGTACCTGAGGCAGTGACTGTGGGCAGTCTCTGTAGCAAAGCTGAGACTCTAAGATCCAGAAAACCCGACTTTGGCAGCAAGAAAACCAATGATGACTTCAACTGAATGACAGTCTCATCCCAGTCCAGTTCCCCCTTTAGGAAAGGACATGACCTGAACCTTGTCTGTCAGGAAATAAGACATGACCTAGAAATACTATCTTAGTAAATGATGATGATACCTCACAAGTACCACAGAGATGACTGTAGAACTATTTTCTATAAACAGCTGTCCTATAAGGTTGTAGGACTTGATAATGTTTTATAGACATGTAGACAGCCATCATGCAAATGATTTTCTGAATTGTCAGTGAGTAAAAATGTTCTAAGCTGTATAGCTCTCTGTGCAATTTAGCACTCAAATAATTTGTTCCCACTTAAGAGGTAGTTCTCAGCCTCCATCAAGTCAAGGCTGTGGTGACCGGCTGCCCTCCAGCCTGGCTGTGGCGTACCGCTGCCCTCCAGCCTGGGTGACAGAGTGAGACTCCTACTCAAAAAAAAAAAAAAAAAAAGAAAGAAAAGAAAAGAAAAAAGTAAATGCCACGAAATGCATAAATCTCACAAGCCAAAATTATTATTAATACTTTATTAAATCTTACGCAGTTCATTACTTTTGAAATAAAAACTTATAATTGGTAAAACAGCTAGGAGTTAAACCTACTTAAGAAAGATCAAACAATGCTCGCTTCGGCAGCACATATACTAAAATTGGAACAATACAGAGAAGAAGAGCATGGCCCCTGCGCAAGGATGACACACAAATTTGTGAAGCATTCCATATTTTTTACTGCATATTGATAAATGTCTTTTTAAAATAACCAGTCCCTCTAAAAATAAAAAGGAAGATCAAGTCACTTTTCTCTAAGATCTCCCACTTTCTCACAGACAATCAGAAGCAACATGAAAGGAAAAAGTCATGCAGATTATTCTGTGAGGTAGGAGTCTACATGGTCGACTCTGTTCAATTAAAAGAAAATTATTTTCTTTTCTTTCTTTTTTGAGTTGGAGTCTCACTCTGTCGCCCATACTGGAGTGCAGTGGCCGCTCCCGGCCACTGCAGCCTTGACCTGCTGGGCTCCCGCAATCCTTCTGCCTCAGCCTTCCGAGTAGCCGGAATTACAGGCGTGCGCTACCACGCCTGGCTGATTTTTTATTTAATGTAGAGATGAGGTCTCGCCAAGTTGCCCAGGTGGGTCTCGAACCTGCGGGCTCAGGAAATCCACTCACCTCAGCCTCCCAATGCGCAGGATTATAGGCTGAGCCACCGAGCCCGGCAGAAATTATTTTCTAATTTAAAACACTGGGGACCCAGAGTTTCTTTTCCATTCAAAAGCTATCTATATAGGAGATCTATAGTATAGAAGATCTATATAGAAGATTTTCTATATAGATAGCTTTTGAATGGAAAAAATATATATTTGTATGCATGGTAGGAAATTGCCATTTTGTAGGCGAAAAACAGTTAAATCTCAACAATGTCATGTAGTTTGACCTGTCCTAGCAGTGGCTTACCTATCTTAGAATCAAGGTATTCTGAGACTCTTTCTGAACAAGTTTATGTCATATACCACAGGTAATTTTTAAGATAAATTTAAACAACAACAAAAAAAACCCCAAAATTTAAATATCAATTTAAACCGATTCATGACAAAGTAAGTTTCCATGTATTTGCATTCAGAATTGACGTCTCTTTCATTTAGTCTATGGAACATGTAGACAATCTCAGGGCAAAAGGTGAAAAACTAGAAGCTAGTGCAGTGTTTCATTTTGGAAATAAACATGATGAATTTAAAGGCAAAATACTGCTTAAAAAATAAAAAAACTCCGCCTGGGCTCGGTGGCTTAGCCTGTAATCCCAGCACTTTGGGAGACCAAGGTGAGTGGATTGCCTGAGCCCATGGGTTTGAGAACAGCCTGGGCAAATTGGCGAGACCTCATCTCTACTATAAATCAAAAATTAGCCAGATGTGGTAGGACACACCTGTAGTTCCGGCTACTTGGAAGGCTGAGGTGGAAGGATCGCCGGGGCCCAGCAGGTTGACACTGGGGTGGCCCTGAGTGTGCCACTGCACTCTAGCCTGGATGACGGAGTGAGACTCCTACTCAAAAAAAAAAAAAAAAGAAAGAAAAAGCACCAGACTGTGAGGAGGTCTTCAGCATTTTTGAAACCTTAGAGAATTATAAATAAAAAAGAGAGCCTTTCTAAGTATGATACCACAGGGAGATCCATAAAGTAAAAGAATGGTGGATTTGTCTACATAAAAATTGTAAAAACTAACTTTGAAGAAAAGAGAAACAGGTAATGAAATAGGGACCGAGCGCTTAATTCACAGACACTGACACCAAAAATACAAATTATAAAAAGGAGAGGTTTATTAGCCAAGAGCCGGGCTGGCGGCCACTTGCCTGCTGGACATGACAGTCCCACAGCAAGGGGCCCCCATTAACTGTAGGGACTTGCTTAAATGGGGCAAAACCACACTGGGACTTTCCAAGTGGGCCAAACCGCAACATCCTGGAGGCCTAGGTACTTTTCAAGCAATGCAAGCGGGGTTCACAGAAGCAAAAAAAAAAAAAAAAGCTGTTAAACAGTTTAACCTAGCCAGCAGGTGTTGTTGCCGGTTTCCAGGAAGGGAACTTTTTTTTTTTTAACTGTGCAAAGGTTGAGTATATGCTTAGCCTAATTTTTGACACTGTAGATGTCTTTTTAAGCCCCCTTCCACATTCCCCCCTTTCAGTTGTTCCTGGAGTCAAATCATTGACTCTTTATACAGGGGAGTTCTGAGGACCATTAATTTTATTGATGACACACTATTTTTAACATAACCAAGGAGGCTTTTAACTAAGCAAGGCCATACTGTTATACCTATTAGGAGTAGGAGGAGAGGCCCCGCCACTGCTGAGATCAGAGTTGTAAACCAGGGGGACCAAGAGAAGAGGGACTGATACCAATTTCCCAAGGCTTATCTTTGCAGTTTTCTTTGTTTTAGATTGTCTCTTACCAGGGCAAGAGTGTCTTGGATGACCCCAGATTGGTTTGCATAGAAACAGCATGTTTTTTAGGGCCGTGCATAGCCCTCCCTGCTTCATGAAGAGGAGATCAAGTCCCCTCCTGTTTTGGAGCACGACCTCGGCTAAGGAATTAACTTGCTGCTTTAGGCAAGATATGCTCCACTCCAGGAGTCCTAGGTTTTTATCAACATGTTTAGTTAGCTTTTTGAGGTTTTGGTTCCCAATGACCAGAGAAGCTGTACTTATTGCTGTGGATCCTGCAATTCCTAGGCTAATGAGGAGGGGCACTAATATGGGGACCCGCTTGGATTGCCCAAGGCCTGAGAGTCCAAGGTGTTCTCATCCCTCCATGCCTTCATAGATATATACCTGGGGTAGTATATGCACTAAGACACAGATTTCTGCAGTGTCCCTGAAGTATTTTAAAGCAATACAGGGTGTTATACCTTGTATACAAGCAAACCAGGTGGTGGCGGTGCAACAGGTCTTTAGAGGTTTTTCTAAGGAGCAATAGTTTCGCACCCCCATGCAGCACAGTGGTGGTGTCCTGCTTTGTGGCAACAGGCTGGTCCCGATACTGGGCAAGCATAAGAAACAACAGATTTAAATTCCTTTTCATAAGCTAAGGTGCCACATTTGTCAGTGTGTGTGTCCCCGAGGGTTAGACCTGGCCATAATTTATAAAGGTTAAAATTAAAAACAGGCTGCCTGCTTCCTTTGTAGGCGGCAATTACGGTCCCAGTGACAGTATTTCTCAGTTCCCAGGAATAGTTCCCTGGAGGATAGGGATTACGCAGATTAGGCCAATAGGCCTCAAATTGGGGAAAGTATACAAGGAATATAATTAAGATACTGGCCCTGCAAAAGTCTTATCTTTAGAGGATCTTCTCCAGTAGCTGGTTTGACGACTTTCCATGTTTCCAGGGGCACGGTGGTGGCTGCCTTTACTTGTGAATGGTGAATCCAAGGGCGGACACTGCTGACTTTGATGGCTGTAGGAATAGTAAGGATTACTATGTGGGGCCTTTTCCACCTTTGGTGAGAGCCTCAGCTTTGTGCCATTTTATCCAGACCTGGTCACTGGGCTGGAACAGGTGTGGATGTGCCGGAACCGGTTTCCAGAAGGCTGCCTGCACAGTCTCAGTGACAGCTTGCTGAACTCTTTGAAGAGCCTGCACTGAACTCTTTGAAGAGCCTGCAGTGACTGAAGCAAATTATGGTTAGACAGTTCTAGTGTTTTTTCCAGTCCAATTTTTGGAAGTAATGGGGCAGGGGTGTCCAAACAGAATTTCAAAAGGGGTTAGACCCTTGATGTAGGGGGTACACCTGGCCCTTAAGAGGGCATAGGGAAGGAGTGTTTACCCAACCTTCGCTGGTCTCCAGGGTTAATTTGGTTAAGGTCTCTTAAGTGTCAGATTCATTTTTTTTTACCTGTCCTGAACTCTAGGGATGATAAACACAATGTAAGTTCCAATTTATCCCCAAGGTTTTTGCAATACCTTCAGTAAGCTTAGAAATAAATGCTGGGCCATTATCTGAGCCTATTGAGATAGGTAGACCATATCTTGGTATGATGTTATTTAAGAGTTTCTTTACTGTTACAGAAGCAGTTTCAGTTTTTGTAGAAAATGCCTCAACCCATCCCGAGAAGGTGTCTACTAAGACCAATAGGTATTTATATTCATATTGCCCAGGTTTGACTTCTGTAAAGTCTATTTTCCAATGTCTCCCAGGGGTTAGTCCCCTATCTTGGACCGCTTGGGTGGATACACTGACCTTAGCATTATTAGTCTGCTGGCATGACACATAGCCTTGAATGAGCTCCTGGGTGAGCTGATCCAGATGAGGGAGATAGAATTCTTTTCTTATAAGTTCGGTTAGTTTTGTTCTTCCCAAATGAGT